TTTTAGTAATATAATACCAAGTTTAATGACTTAGTTAAGGTAGTAACAGCCAGATCTTTACATTTTTAAGACACATTTTCCCCTTTGCATTGCTAAGTAATGTGTGGGATAATACTTTTGACATCAAGTGAGTTTTGTTTCTGAAAAACTTTTCGCCTAATGGCTATAGCATACATTGATGATTTTTGCCTGAATTGGATTTTACATTGGGGGTTACAAAATGGTGACTTTCTAAGTCAGTCATTCCTTTTACATTTATTACTGGCATTCGGTAAAGAGTTTTCTTTTTCTCACCTCAGCCAACCCCCTTCTACCTCCTTTTCCTTTTCTCTTCCCTCCACTCGAAGAACACTCTGCATTGATTAATTTTTTATTTATTCAATATGTGGGCCTTCCCTCCTTCCCTCTCTCCCCCTACTCCTGCCCCTCTTACTCCATCCCTCTCTCCCTTCTTTTGTTCTTTCTTGCTCAGATCCTTTCAACTGTTAGCTTGGTCCTTTTTCCTTTTGATATACCCTATGGGTCTGAGCATTTTCTTGTTTTATGACATAACAAGTGTTCCCAGGATCCTGGTGTTTCTTTCTGTGCTATAGGTCTGGAGTCAGATTTCAAAGGACCATGATTTCTTTGTGGGCAGTGGTATTTAGAAACCAAGGTTTTAGTACTTGGTGTGTTCATTGTTTCTGTGGTAACATTGTTTCTAGGCCCTTTTAATAGAAGCTTTTAGTGACCTTTTAACATGAAAAGCTATTTGGAGCTAGAAGAAAGAAAATAAAATGTTTCTGATTTACTCATCCTTGCAGATTCTTTCTTTTAGAGTGGATGAGTCTGTTTATTCCTTTCTTTAATAGCCCAGACCCAGACCCGTGCTATTATCTACTCACTCAAGGATTATTAGTAGCTGTTGAATGTTTTCCTCTTCTGATCTGTTCTACATATCTTCCATTTTATTTATCTATAAAATATTTGTTATATCCAGTCTGTGTGCCATGAACTGGGTTAGGCATGTATAATACATAAGAAAATGGAAACATCAAGAGTTCACAGATTAATAGGGAAGACCCATATGAAAAATTTTATTATGATTGGTACAAAAATATAAAGAATAACTAAATGAGAAACTAAAGGCTTTAAGAGAAGATAGTATTTGAGTATGGTATTTATATATTATGAGAAGATTAATGTGAAGGGTAGAGTTATTTATAGATTTTCATTGTAAGTGACAACAGATGAAATATCAAATTTGTTTCTAGGTGGTAGTTACAAGTGGAAGTATTAGAAATAAGGTATTGCCTGCATTTAGTGCTTAGAACGTTCCTTTCCACCCTATTTTGTATTTTTTTAATTTATTTTTATTTTTTGGTTTGTTTTTATGTGTACTAATTTTTTGCCCAGGTAGATAAACTATACTTGTTTACACTGAAACTTTCTAAGATGCCTCATCATTTCTGTTCCTTGAAAGATGATTTATTTAGCCCTGGCTGGTTTGACTCAGCAGTTAGAGCGTCGCCCTGCAGTCTGGAGAGACCTGGGTTTGGTTCCCGCTAAGGGCACATACTTCGGTTGCAGTTTGTCCCCAGCCCTGGTTGGGTCGTGTGGGTAGCAACCACTCGATATGTCCCTTTCACGTCGATGTTTCTCGCTTTTATCTTCCTCTCTCTCCCTCCCACTCTATCTGAACAAAATATCAGAAAAAAAATGTCCTCGGGTGAGGATAAAAAAAAAAGAAAGATGGCCCTGGCCAGTTTGGTTCAGCGGTTAGAGCGTTGGCCTGTGGTCCAGAGAGATCTGGGTTTGGTTCCCACTGGGGGCACGTACTTCGGTTGTAGTTTGGCCCTGGCCCTGGTTGGGTTGTGTGGGTGGCAGCCACTTGATGTGTCCCTTTCACGTCGATGTCCCCCCCCCCCCCCCCCCCCGCTCTGTCTGAACAAAAAAAGGAAAAATGTCCTCGGGTGAGGATAAAAAAAAAAAGATGATTTATTTATATTTTTTTTGCTGAAATTAGTTTTGAGGCCATGTGAGTTTTCTGTATTTGTTTATACATCTGTGTCTTATGAATAAATTTATTATGTTTTATTAACAATGATTGCACTTACCAAGTGTTTATATCATACTTTTTATGTTGTCATTAATACAAAGTTTGATTCTTACTGTGGGGAGATCTTAATAAACTCAGGATAGTGAAGGAAATAGAGAGTCAAATGATTAGAAATTAGGACTCACCTATGTAGGCAGCCCCCTCATTTTAGTCCCTTTATAGTTAGTTGTAGATTGTTCCTCTTTTCATAAGAAGAATTAGGAGAGGTATAAGAAAGATAGAAAATCTGCATATGTTTCCTAATTCAGAATCTTTAATGAGTATATAAAGTACCCCCCACCCAGATACAAAAATAACTTATAGGAGTCTAGAACTGTTTTTCTACAAGTTCCCATCTCCCCTAGTATTTCTAGCTTCCTAATAGAGCATTTAGAATTTCTTTTTGCTGTAGACATGATGGTAAAAAGAATATATTGAAATTGTAGTGTATTATTGTTAGAATCAATATTTAATTTATCTGACATTAAGCAGTGGGTATTCAATATAAATGCATTTTCTATATATTTGTAGCTTACCACTTAAAGTGTCAAAATGTGTTTATTTTAGCCATTTTATTTGATAAAATTAACCAAATAAAACATACTTAATGTATAATTTAAAATTGTCTTTAGCAAACACTTAATGTACAGTATTCTGTTTCATACAATGTTACCTATCCTTCAGAAAGTTCTTCTCTCTTAAATATGCAAATGCTTTTATACAGAAATAACCATACACTTAATGTGTCTGGATATAAGTGCAGCAAGCCAATGATGGCTTTCAAACCAAGGCCCTGATTAATTTTTCATGATAATTTTCATGGTAGTATTCTTTTGTCCCATAGAACTCACCAGACTAACAAGTCCACAGGACAAAAAAAAATTGTGGATCCTTATTGTTTAGAGACCCAGCTATAGTCTGGCCATGCTGTGGGTGGGTGTAAATATGCTTTATTTGTTATTACTTCCCAATGTAAACATTTCACTCGAGCAGGTCAGTTTCCACATAGTTTTAAGATTATTCCATGTCCCTTAACCTTTATTCATGCTGTTGTTTGCTTTCTGTTCAGGGACCTTGAGGAAGTTATTTATCTTTGTGTATTTTCTCAGTAGCTTTTTTTCTTATCGTCTCAGTGAATGGTATGATTGGAAATGTCTTCTTTCCATTAGAAGGACTGAGACAGGTACGCAAGGAAGTCTGGGAAATGTAATTTTTAGCTTTCCACCAAACTGGAGGGGAATTAGAGTGGATAATTTTTTTGTCACTGATCTTAACCTTGTTTCTGCTTTTTATTTCTTACTTTTATTTTTCTATTCACCAGATTTCCTAAATTGGCTTTTTTTTGGTAAACTTGTTAAACCACATGTGTCTTTGTATAGCAGTCTTCCTAGGTCTTGCTATACTTATCTCCAGTGTGAGAGAATTAGACCAGGTATCTTTAAGTTTTCTTTCAGCTATAAGCTTCTGTTTATATCCATTTATATATTCTTTCATTAAAAATATTTATTGAATGCCTGCTGTTTGATAGATATGCTCCACAATATAAGATTATGTACTCTCTAATAATAAAATACTACATGTTTTTCAGTATCCAGGTTATGTACTGCTTCATTTGTAAAGTCTTAACCTGACACTGTAGCTTATATTATGTTGCCCCTAAATTCTTTTAGTACTTACTAAAGAATGTAGACATAGGTTAACTGGTGTTTGGCTTAGTGTTTTCATTACTTAACTTAATTGCTAACACCTTGAATACTTTTATAATCATTTAATATAGTGACAGTCACAGAGTGATAACAAATACAGTGATACTAACATTTATGAATACAAACTTTGAGGCAGGCTTTGTTTTAAATGCTTTACATATATCCATTTCTTTGCTACAAAATATTTAGGAGATGGGATCTCTTTTCATCCCCCCTTTTTATTTTATCCTTACTTGAGAACATTTTTGCATTTATTTTCAGATAGAGTGGAAGGGAGAAAGGGAGGAAAAGAGAGAGAGAGAGAGAAACATTGACGTGAGAGAGACACATCTAGTGGTTGCCACCTACTCCTGGGGACAAACTGTAACCAAGGCTAGGGCCCCTTTGTTTTCTTATTTCTTTTATCCTAACCTGAGGACTTTTTTTTTTTTTTTTGCATTTATCTTCAGATAGAGCAGTAGGGAGGAAGGGAGGAAGAGAGAGAGAGACACATCAATGTGAGAGAGACACATCGAGTGGCTGCCACCCACACGACCCCCAACCGGGGCTGGGGACAAACTGCAACCGAGGTATGCTTCCTTAGTGGGAACTAAACCTGGGCCTCTCTGGTCCACGGGCTGATACTCTAACTGCTGAGCCAAACCGTCCAGGGCTTCATCCCCATTTTTACAGATAAGGTAAAACACACAAAGGTTAAGTAAATTTCCTCAAGATTATACTGCTGATTCATGAAGCTAAGATATAAACCCAGGGAGTCACATTACTATATACCCAATGAATAAATGAAATGTTTTCCTTTTAAGTATTCATTGGTTACAGCTTTGATAGCTATTTGCACTTTGGATAAAAGACAACAGATAGGTCACTTTGGGGAAGAATACTTTTTAAACAAGGACAAATAACTTTCTTAGCAAATTAAATAAATATTGAGTGATTCACAATAGTGAATATTCAAAGTGTGTATACTTGGGGATTTTGAATAATGTGTCTGTTTTTGAAAGAAAGTTTGCAACATGCATAATACTTATACAGGGTAGGGCAAAAGTAGGTGTATAGTTTGTATGGGAAGACACGTAGGTTATGATTATTACAATAGCTTTATTAACTCTGTATGCCATGTACTCACAACTGTAAACCTACTTTTGCCCCACCCTGCAGATAACTTTTGATTTGTATTAAGTGTCTTGATTATTTAATTTGTTTCTTATCATTTTCAGTTGAGTGGTGATTTTATGCAATGGCTTCAAGCCACAGTTCTTCACCAGTGCCTCAAGGAAGCAGCAGTGATGTTTTTGTTAAAAAAGAGGTAGATTCAACAAAACATATTCGACCTGTGCAGTCACTGCCAGATGTGTGTCCCAAGGAACCCACAGGTAATGTTTTTTTTTTGAGGATTTGTATTATCTTTAAATGAATAGATAAATTTCATGTACTTATCTTAAAAGTAAATTTTATAATGTTAAAACTGAAGAGATAGAAATAATTTGGTAGTAAGTAGATTAGAAAACTGTAGTATAGTTTTTTTCATGCATTTTCATAAAAGAAGTACCTACATAAACTAAAAAAAAAAAAGTTTTGAAAATGTACAGATTGAAAAGCTCTTTAGTTAAACATAATACAGTCAATCCTCATTATTTGTGGTTTCCATATTTTGGCACTTTTGTGATCATTTGTAGACATGTACAGAGGAGTGAAAAATTTAAATCGCCTGATATACACGCTCCCACTTGATATTAAACAAGGCAACACTATGCCTTCTTGTTTCAACTGTCATGGTGTAAACAAGTGTCCTTTTTGTGGTCTATTTAATGCTATGTTTTTTGCATTTTTGTGTTTTTTATTGGTGAATTTGCTTTTTAAAATGTTCCTAAATGTAGTGCTGAAGTGCTTTCTAGTATTCCTAAACACAAAAAGGCTGTAAAGTGCCTTATGAAGAAAATATGCATGTTATATAAATTTCATTCAGGTATGAGTTATAGTTGTATTAGCTGTGAGTTCAATGTTAATGAATGAACAATATATATTAAATAATGTATCTTTAAGTAGAAACATGTATAAGATTCTGTATTGATCAGTTGATGAAAATGTTGTGACCAGAGACTTGTAGGACTCTAACCCTCTATTTCCACTAGGGGTTCAGTATTTGCTAATTAAGTGTTCAGTGACTTTCTAGAACAGAACTACTGTGAATAACAAGAATGAACTGTGTATTTTTCTTTCCTCTATGGTTAAGGCCACAGCAGTTTTTTTGTTTTTTTTTTAATGTTATCTAATTATAAGCCCACCCCCCAAATATTGGAACTAGTACTGTCAGCCATAGTACAATGGAAGAAAGGTCTACCTATTGGGAAAAAGTGGAATATTAAAGGATAGAAGATATTCAATAGAAGGTAGAAGAATTTCAGTGTTGAAAGATAAATTGTATAGTAGGGAAAGGAATTAATGAAAGACTTTCTTTACCACCCAATCTACCCTGTAACTACAGCCCTTAATTTTTTTACATCTTTTATCTTATACATGTTTTTTCTTCCTTTGGCAATTGATGCTGAAAGCTCAAGTTTATTTAATCAGATTGATTTTTATTAAAGCATTTGCTGTAGAAGAGAGTTTATGCTTTGTATAATGTAGGATCTAAGCATTTTTATAGTATGTACTTTCAAACATAGAACTTACTTTACAGAGTTCTCTTGTTTACTTTTTGCAGGTGATTCAAATAGTTTATGTGTTGCCCCATCTCTAGTTACAGATCAACATAGATGGACTATATATCATTCCAAAGTAAATCTCCCAGCAGCATTAAATGATCCTAGATTAGCAAAAAGAGAATCTGACTTCTTCACAAAAACATGGGGATTGGACTTTGTGGACACTGAAGTCATACCTTCATTCTACCTCCCACAGATCAGCAAGGAACATTTTACAGTATATCAACAGGAAATCTCTCAGGTAATATCTAATCTTGAAGTTCGTTATGGTCAGATCAAAGGTGATAGAAAGATTTTTAGTTTGATTTATAATGTATTTTGACCAATAGTCTTTGAAGAACCTATGATATTTTTTTGTTCATATACATTCTGTACTGAGTTGTATTTAATTCTTTGCTTAGATTTCTATAAATATATTTTTCTTACTATAGTGATTTTTCAAAATGACATATTTCTAAAAGTGCTGAGATTCAACATGAAAACTACCCTACCTACCAAGGAAAAAATGGTTTTATTGGGCCTATAAAGCCCAGAAAATTGTGAGTTTGAGAAATGAGCAGAATGGAATTATTTCTATGTACTCATTTACCACAAATAATTTAATAGAGCATCTTAGCTCTAGCAGATAGTCTTAAATATCTCTAGACATGTTGCTGTAAACTCATTTCTGAGAGCATGAACGAGTGCAGTGCAGAGTCTGAGATGGCTTATAATTCATTTTTAGAAAGTGACTTACCAATATAAATCTAGTTACCATTTAAATCTTTTTTAAAAAAGTCATTAAAGTAGTACAGAGGATATTAAAATTTTTTAAAATTTAGGTTATAATTGACATATAACATTATTAGTTTCAGGTGTACAGCATATGCTGTGATATTTGTTTATATTGTGAAATGATAATCATAAGTAGTCTATAGTTCCATCTGTCACCATATATAGATACAAAAATTCTTTTTCCTGATGATGGGACTTTTAAGATCTCTCAGTAACTTTCAAATATACAAGAGTTTATTAATTATAGTCATCATGCTTTATATTACATCCCCATGATTTATTTATAATTGGAAGTTTGTATAGGGGATATTCATTTTTAATTTTATAATCCTTTTTATACTTTTTTTTTTATGAGCAATCCTAATTTGCATTTAGCTCATTTTATTTTACTTGATTACTTTGTTTTATTTTTATGATTTGGAAATAGGCTGAATGTGGCTATATTATTAACATTAATACTATACTGTATCTGGTTTATTTTTAGTACTAATATGTTTGTACAAAAATTGTAAATATTATTTACTTTTGTATGTGTATATTGCCATATATACTCTAGGATTTTTGTGTTCTGTTTTCAATGATCACATCTAACTCTTTGGATGTGTTAAGTGGATAAGGTGTCATTTGTTTTTTTGTTAATCCTCACCTGAGCATATTTTCCCATTGATTTTTGAGCTAAATGGAAGGGAGGGAGGGAGGGAGAGAGATAGAGAGACAGAGAGACAGAGAGACAGACAGATACATCTTTTGGTTGCCTCCTGCATGACCCTGACTGGGGCCGGGGATCAAACCTGCAACCAGGTATGTGCCCTTGACCAGGAATCAAACCTGTGAGTGACCCTTTGGTCCGCTGGCCAATACTCTAACCACTGATCCAAACTGGCCAGGGCTTAAGTGGATGAGTTTTAATATGCTTTTTTGTTTTGTTAATCCTCACCTGAGGATATTTTTCCTTTTTTGTTGATTTTTAGAGAGAGTAGAAGGAGGCGAGAGGAGGGAAAGGGAAAGAGAGGGAGAGAGAGGCACTGATGTGAGATAGACACATTGATTGGTTGCCTCCCTTATGACCATGACTGGGAATCAAACCTGCAACCCAGGTACATGCCCTTGACCAGAATTGAGCCTGCAACACTTCGGTTTGAGGGCCGATGCTCTCAACCTTGACCCAAACCGGCCTGGGCTATTATGCCTTCTTTTTGATGGTTTCTAATATCACACCTCATAACATTCAGTTTGGCTTTTTTATTTATCCATTTATTTATCAAATACTTATTGAGTGCTTTCTGTGTGCCAGACACTGTTCTTTTTTTTTTTTTTTTTTTTTTTTATCCTCACCCGAGGACATTTTTCCACCTTTTGTACAGATAGAGTGGGAGGGAGAGAGAGGAACAGAGAGAGAGAGAAACATCGACGTGAAAGGAACACATCGAGTGGCTGCCACCCGCACAACCAACCAGGGCCGGGGACAAACTGCAACCGAGGTACATGCCCTTAGCGGGAACCGAACCCGGGTCTCTCTGGACCGCAGGCGGACGCTCCAACCGCTGAACCAAACCGGCCAGGGCACAGACACTGTTCTAAGCACGAGAGATATAGCAGAGACCAAAAACAGGCAAACTTACAAACTTACATTTCTAGCAGGGTTATAAGCAATAAACCCTAAAGCAACCACTAAAATAACAAAACAAAGTATTATAGCTAATAAGCCAGTGGAAGAGATAACGTACAATAAAGTAATTCTCAATCCAAACAAAGGCAGAAAAAGATTAAAAAGGGAAAAAACAATAGATGAGAAAAAAAGAAAATAAACATCAAAATGATAGACTTAAACCTAAACCTATCAACAGTTACATTAAAATGTAAATGTTTAAGCACCCCAAGTGAAAAAGAGATTGTGAGATCAGGTGAAAAGCAAGACCCAACTACATGGTGCTTATAAGAAATGCACTTGAGCCCTGGCTGGTTTGGCTCAATGGTTAGAATGTCAGCTCACGGACCAGAGAGGCTGGAGTTCAGTTCACGATGGGGCACATACCTTGGTTGCAGTTTGTCCCTGGCCCCTGTTTGGGTTGTGTGCGTGGCAACTAGTCTATGTGTCTCTCTCACGTCCATGTTTCTCTCTCTCTTCCTCCTGCTCTATCTGAAGATAAATGCAAAAATGTCCTTGGGTGAGGATTAAAAAAAAAAAAAAAAGAAAGAAATGCACTTGAAATACAAAGACACAAAACATTTAAAAGTTAAAAGGATGGAAAAAGTTTTACCAGACTTAACACTAGTCAAAGAAAGCTGGAGTGGCTATGTTAATGTCAAGCAAAGTAGATTTCAGATCAAAGACTGTTACTAGGGATAAAGAAAGTCACTCTCCGAGGAGCTCTTGATAAAGAATATAAAAACACTACAGCTAATGGTGAGAAACTAGAAGCTTTCCCTTTAAGTTCAGGAACAAGGAAGGTAAGGATGTCCCTTCATACCATTCCTTTTCGACATCATGCTGGAAGCCCTAACTAATGCAGAGAGACAAGAAAAGAAAAAAAAAAAGGTATACAGATGGGAAGGAAGAAATAGAACTATCTTTATTCACAGATGACATGATCATACAGTCATCCCTCACCACTTCGTGCTTCGACTTTGGAGGCTTCACTCTACCGCGTTTTTTAAAATACTATACTAAAACCGCGATAGAGTGAGGCTGCGAAAGTCGAAGTATGAAGTGGCAAGGGACGACTGTATAAATAAAGAATCCTACTTCACAGAAATTCATTTATCACAGTAGAGGCTGGAACTGATTAACCACGATAAACGAGGGCCTACTGTATATGTAGAAAATCTCAGAGAATCAAAACAGAAACTTTTTGGAACTAATAAGCAATTAAAGCAAGTTACAGGATACAAGATTACTGTTACAAAAGTTTGCTTTCTTTTATGCTAATGGTGTATAATTTGAATTTGAATTGAAAACACACCACCATTTATATTAGCACCAAAGAAAATGAAATACTTAGGTATAACTCTAACAAAATATGTACAATATCTGTAAGAGAACTACAAAATTCTGATGAAAGAAATCAAAGGAGAACTAAGTAAGTGGAGAGTCCCTGTACATGAATAGGAAAACTCAATATTGTCAACATGTCTGTTTTCCCAACTTAATATATACATTTAGTGCAATTTCAATTAAAATCCCAGCAATTTACTTTGTAGATATTAAGACACTGATTCCAAAGTTTATAAGGGAAGGGAAAAGAGAGTAGCTAACATATTATTGAAGGAGAAGAACAGATTTGGAGGCCTGACACTACCTGATTGCAGGACTTACTGTAAAGCTATAGTAAGTAATACAGACAGTGTGGTATTGGTTAAAGAACAGACCATACAGATAAAAGAAATAGAATAGACAGCTCAGAAATAGACCTACACAAATATGGTCAACTGATTTTTGACAAAGGTTGAAGGGCAATTCATTCAAGAAAAGAGAGTCTTTTGACTAAATGGTACTGGAACAACTAGACATCCCCATGCAAAAATAAAAAAAATCTAGAAACAGACTACCTATACCTTTCAGAGAAATTAGAGCCAAAAGGGTCATGTTCCTAAATATAAAATGCAAAACTGTAAAACTTCTAGAAGATAACATAGGAGAAATTTTATGACCTTGAGTTTGGTGATGACTTTTTAGATATGGCATCAAAAGTAATCAATGAAAGAAAAAATTGACAAATTGGACTTTGTAAAAATTACAAACTTCCAGTCTGTGAAGAAGACTGTTAAGAGAATGAAGACAAGTCAGAGACTAGAAGAAAATGTGATCAATGATAAAGGACTGGTATCCAAAATATACAGATGACTCTTAAGAAAACAAACAACCCAATTTAAAAAATGGGCAAAGGACTTGAATAAATATTTCTCTGGAGAAGATATACAAATGATCAATAAGAATGTAAAAAGGCCCTGGCTGGTTTGGCTCAGCAGTTAGAGTGTCAGCCTGCAGACCAGGGAGTCCTGGGTTCGATTCATGCCAAGGGCACATACCTAGGTTGCAGTTCATCCACAGCCCTGGTTGGGGTTGTGCAAGTGGCATCCAATTGATGTGTCTTTCTCACATTGATGTGTCCCCCCCCCGTCTGAAGATAAAGGCAAAAAAAGGAAAAAAGTCCTTGCCTTTTTGGCTCAGCAGTAGAGCATTGGCCCATGGATCAATGAGTCCTGGGTTTGATTCCAGTCAAGGGCATGTACCTTGGTTGCAGTTCATCCTCGGTCCTGGTTGGGGTCGTTTGGGAGGCAATCAATCAATGTGTCTCTTTCACATCAATGTTTCTCTGTCCCTGTCTTTTCCTCTCTCTCGACCTGAAGATAAATACAAAAACAAAAAAAGAATGTAAAAAGATGGTTAACATACCTAACAGTTTTATTTTATTATTATTTTTAATTCTCATTTGAGGATATTTTTTCATTGATTATTCAAATAGAGAGGGAGAGTGGGAGGGCGAGAGAGAGAGAGAAACATCGATGTGGGGAGAGACTCATTGATTGGTTGCCTCCTACACTACCCCGCCAAGGCCAGGATCAAACAGCAACTGAGGTACGTGCCCTTGACCAGAATTGAACTGCAACTCTTTGGCCTGCTGCTGACACTCTAACTGCTGAGCCAAACCAGCCAGGGCTTAAATGGTAAATTTTATGTTATGTAATTTTACTACTCACACACACACAATGGTCAAAAGATCTGAACAGACATCTCACCAAAGATGGCAAGTAAACATGAAAAGATGCCCATCATCATATGTCATCAGGGAATTGCAAATTAAAACAATGAGATTCACTACACATCTACTAGAATGGCAAAATCCAACACTGACTACCAGATGCTGACAAGGTGGACTTATAGGAATTCTCACTCATTGTGGGTAGGGATGCAAAATGGTACAGCCATTTTGGAAGCCAGTTCTGTAGTTTCTGACAGACTACTATCAGAACTCTGAACACTACTGGCCCAGTGTTCTTTTTCTTACTGCACTCCACCTTCCCTTGTGTCCTATTGGTGGTATCTCTGAAAAGATAACAGTGTTGTTAGTGGTTATCTAATATGAAATCAGAGTGGGATTTTTTTTTTTTTTTACTCAGAGAGTAAGCGTCAAGTAATAACTATCTTAAGTATATTGGTTTTCAAATTTTCTTTCTTTTTTTTTTATCCTCACCCGAGGACATTTTTTCATTTTTTTGTTCAGATAGAGTGGGGGAGGGGAGAGAGAGAGAAACATCGACGTGAAAGGGACACATCGAGTGGTTGCCACCCGCACCACCCAACCAAAGCCGGGGACAAACTGCAACTGAGGTATGTGCCCCTAGTGGGAACCGAATCCGAATCTCTGGACCGCAGGCCAATGCTCTAACCGCTGAACCAAAGCGGCCAGGGTTTCTTTCTTGTTTTTAAAAATTATTTTCTTAATTGATTTCTGTTATGTAAGTAAGGGTTTTTCATTCACTTTCCCACTTCATTCCAAATTTCTAGAGATATTAAGTGTCTCTCATATCCATGTTTCTCTCTCTCTTCCTTCCTCCCTCCCACTCTATCTAAAAATCAATTGAAAAGCCCTGGCCAGTTTGGCTCAGCAGTTAGAGCGTTAGCCTCTGGACCAAAGGGTCATGGGCTTGATTTCAGTCAAGGGCATGTACCTCGGTTGTGGTTCGGTCCCTGGCCCTGGTCAGGGTCTTGTGGGAGGCGGCCAATCGATGTATCTCTCTCACATGGATGTTTGTCTGTCTGTCTCCCTCCTTCCATCCCACTCTATCTGAATATAAATGGAAAAATATCCTCAGGTGAGGATTAAAAAAAAAAAATCAATGGAAAAATAACCTCAGGTGAGAATTGAAAAAAAATATTATGGCCCTGTTCGGTTTGGCTCAGTGGGTAGAAGTATGTCGGCCCATAGACCAATGAGTTGCAGATTCTGTTCTAGCCAAGGGCCTGTACCTCAGTCGTGTTTTGTCCTTGGCCCTGTTTGGGGTCATGCTGGAGGCAACCTGTCTATGTGTCCCTCTCATGTCGATGTTTCTCTTCTTCCTTTCTCCCCCCCCCCTCCCTCCCACTCTATCTGAAGATAAATAGAAAAATATCCTAGGTGAGGATTAAAGAATAAAAAAGTAGCCCTGGCTGGTTTGGCTCAGCGGTTGGAGCGTCGGCCTGCGGTACAGAGAGACCCAGGTTCGGTTCCTGCTAAGGGCACGTACCTCGGTTGCAGTTTGTCCCCGGCCCTGGTTGTTTGTGCGGGTGGCAGCCACTCGATGTGACCCTTCACGTCGATGTTTCTCTCTCTCTTCCTCTCTCCCCTCCCGCTCTATCTGAACAAAAAAAATGGAAAAATGTCCTCGGGTGAGGATAAAAAACAACAACAAACAAACAAACAAACAAAAAAAGAATAAAAAAGTAAAAAATAAAAAATTATGTAAAATGGGATGGGTGTAAGTATATAGGTGTTCGTACATGTCAGTGATATTTAATAAGCATACTTATTTGTATTTAATTTAAAAAGACTAGTGATTTCATGTTTAAAAATCATAGAACTAAGTTGATATATTCTGATATTCTGTTATGAACATTTTGATGCTTTGAATATTCATGTTGCCACATAGCACTGATTACGTTATTTATTTAATTGTCCTTTTATTAGAGAGAGAAGATTCACGAGAGATGCAAGAATATTTGTCCTCCTAAAGATACCTTTGACAGGACTCTCTTACATACTCATGGTATGAATATGTGCTATTTGTAAAGACTATGTAGATGAACATGTGCTATTTGTAGAATAGCATAAATATTAATGAACAAAATCCTAATTTGGGGACCTTGTTGGCTATCCTACCTATATTTTTTATTTTTAGTGAAATTTTATAGCTTACCTTTATAATCTTTTCTAAAAACTTTTGAGAGAAGAATCGTGGGTCTGATGGTAGTATTGTCTTCAATTCAACAAATGCTTATGTAATATCTGTGTACTTGGTACTTTGGTTATTGCTTAAAAATAGATGAATAAGAAATAATCCCTGACTTAAAGAAGCTGATGGTCTCCTGAGTAAGGTTAAATAAATAAACCCCAAATTGCAGCACTGTATATAAAGTCGTAAGATCAGCATGGTAAAATTGTATAGAGCTTCTAACTTAGTCTTAGAAGATTTCCTAGAATTGATGATGATTGCCTGTGTTTTAAACTAGCTATTGAGAAATATTTATGTGGGAAAGACATTGCAGGAAGAGGATAATTTTTACAAAGCTATAGAGTCGATAGATAAATTAGCATGTTCAAGGGACTGCAAGAATTTAGTGATTTGGCTCTACTTGGAGCAAGAAAAGAAGTTGAAGAAATAGGTGATAGTCAGATCAAGAGCCTTGTATGCCATGCTAAGGAATATTTCTTCTCTCTCTTTTTATCCTCACCCGAGGACATTTTTCGATATTTTGTTCAGATAGAGGGGGAGGGGGAGAGAGAGAGAGAGAGAAAGAGAGAGAGAGAGAGAGAGAGAGAAACATCAATGTGAAAGGGATACGTCGAGTGGTTGCCACCCACACGACCCAACCAGGGCTGGGGACAAACTGCAACTGAGGTATGGGCCCTTAGCGGAAACCGAACCCAGGTCTCTCCAGATCGCAGGCCGACACTCTAACTGCTGGGCCAAACTGGCAGGGCTATTTCTTCTCTCTTAAGCAGTACAGAGGTACAAAATATTTTAACCAGACAAAATCATATTTATGGTTATACATTTCTGTGAAAACAGTTGTGGGTAATAAATTTTTGGATAATGATTTAACTAGAGGCAAGGAGACAGTTGGAGGCTATTGCAATAATACAAGTGAAAAATCATGTGGTGCCAAATAGTAGCTATAATGAAGATGGAGAGGAAATTAGGCCTTTGAGAGATTGAGGCACAGATTTTGGGGGTCATTTAGTTGTTGGTAATGGATAAAGTTGATTCAAGAATGACTCCCAGGTTTTTTGCTTGAGCAGCTGCCTAGGTGAGGTACAATTCAGTGAGAAAGGCAGTAAAAGAGAAATTTTGGAGAAGATGGAGGCTGGTTTAATTGAAGTTTTGCAAAGAAGATGTCTGGTATGCAACCTGGAGCTCAGGAAAGAGATCTAAGCTGGAGATGTAGATACAAGTAGTCATGATCATAGACATATGCTAGATAATAGCATGGTAATTGAATCCAAGGGCATGGATGGGATCACCCAGGAAGGATGTGAATAGTGAGAAGAAAATAACTGATAATAGAACACTAGGAACCTGTCATATTTAAGGAGCAGATAGAAAATGAGGTACTTGGGAAGGAGACTATAAAGAAGTAGATTAGAGAGTCAACCAAGGGAGAATTCCACCTTTGGAATGAGAATTTTAAGGAAGTAAAAATAATTAGTCTATAGTGCCAGAATACTTCAGTTTGCACCTTGAGAAGTCTTTGTGGATTGGGTAATTTAGGAGATCTTAGGGAGAGCTTTTAAACTAGAGTCTTAGTTACAGAAACCTCAATACTATATATTAAAGTGTGAATACAAGAGAAAGAAGTAGAGACTACCAGTGTGGATGTTACATAAGGATTTGAGATACAGGGTATTTGACTACAGAAGGAACAGAGTGGGAAAATGTTTTTGCATGGCCAGACTAGATGAGGCAGGAGAGGCATTTGCATAACCCCAAGAGTGATTGCTTTTTAAATTTTTGTACCCAGGGTCCTCCCTTATCTCCATTCAGTCTGGACCCTATGTTTTCTCTCTCTCTCTTTCTTTCTTAATGGGATAGAATGGAACATACTCCTATGCAGAGAGGAAAATGCTCTTAGAAAGGAGGGAGAGGTTGAAGATACGGAGAGAGGCAGGGTAATTGAAGCGAGCTCACAGAAGAGACAGGAGGGGTTGGGGATGGGTTGCTTTTGGAAAGGAGAGTACCTTGTCTGAGATCTTATTGGTGAGATGAAGGTAAAGTAGGTTCAGTTGCAGATAAGTTTGTAGGTGATACAAACAAAGTGTATAAGAAGAAACTTACCATGGTGTTGAAAAAAATCTTTGTTCAGAAGAAATGCTGGCAGGGATGGTGGATGTTTTGAACAATTGAAAAACAGTATTCCTATTTTAAAATTTAATTCATTTTTAAAAACTACATAGCATGCCAGACTTAACCTCACCAAAACTTAGTAAGATAGCATCAAGCTTTCTGTGTAGCTAATCATTGTAGACTAATTTAATTATAGACTAATCATTCTCACTTAAAATGTATTTAGTTTTTTTATTGCTACTATACAATTGATTAAAATTATTTGAGCATATGTCTTATTCAGTGCTTTGTATACTACTAGGGGATATAGGAGATACTTAATAGATACTTGTTGAACAAAGAAACTTAAGTGGTTATTTGGTTGTGACCTAGTAGTATTGAATCTTGTCAAAGTATATTTTATGGAAGCAAAATGAAAACAAGTTTAAAAATCATATTCTCCCATTTCTTTCTTTTCTTTGTTTTTTGTTTGTTTTCTTTTTTCTTTAAATAGATAAATCCAGGACAGATCTGGAGCAAGTACCTAAGGTAACAAAGCTTAAAAAATGAGAATGCTGCTTTTTAATATTTGATCTTTAATTTTGCATTTAAGAAGCTTTCATTTAGCTGTTTTCTGACTCTTTGATCATTTTACCTCTTCTGGAACATTGTTACATCACTTTTCTCTCTCTTTTGCATCATCAATCCCTTCTTCATCACCAACACGTACAAATATGTTTAAGTCTCTTCATTCTAAAAGAAGAATTTTGTTGGTCTTATTATCCTTTCAAATTACTACAAGACATTTTTTTTGTAAGAAAAATTTTGTAGAGATGTGTAATAGATGAGTTTTTTGAGGGGGGAAAGAATCCACTGCATTCATCAGATTCTCAAAGAATCTGGTAATTGTTCTTTAGGATGAAAAGAGACAGATGAAAGGCCTAAACAAAAAGAAGAGGGCAGTCATTTTAAAGTTATTTGATTCCTATGAAATAGAATTCAAACTCTGTAATTTAAGGCCCCTTACTTATTCATTTTCATTCATAGTTACATTCCTAACTTTTGCCTCCTAATCTTTACACATCTTTTACTTCAACTAAACTCTTTTGCTGGCTCCATGCTTTGCTTGCACTAAGACTTTCACGTCATCTCCCCATATCTAATCATTTACAATCTTTTTAAATGGCAATTTTACATGAATACATTTTCCCCCAACTAAAGATAATTGGCTCTTTGCTTAATTCCCTTAGCATTTTATCTAGATCCCAGCCTTCTCTTTCAAGGCATTTGTCACTCTTTGCCTTGTAAGATATTTATGTATATATTTTATCATACCCCTTGGACTAAAGGTGCTTGAGATTAGTACCTCTGTAATAATTTATTTTTCTTCCCCTAGTGCCTAGCATAAGAAAATCAGTGACTGCTTATTGAATTAATCAATACTTTCAATAATACTAAAACAGTGATTAGAAAATATACTTATGTCCCTAGTTAGATTTTCCCTATCACATTCATAACAATTTTTGGATATAGATAAAATAAATCAGTAAATATAATAAAATATAGAAATTAATGAAGTAATTAACTGCTTAAAGCATGTTTTAGGTCTTATGGGGATACAAAGAATAATCATTATAAATTCCAGTTTTACAGGAATATATTCCAGTGGGATATATACATATTAAGTAAATAATTTTTGTGAAGTATGAGATAAAGAAGTATACATAGTATACTTGTGTTCAGAGATAAGATGGTTAATCTCTGTGTCATACAGAGACATATTTGCCCCTTGATTGGGTTGAATTCTCTAGGAAAATAGACAAGGGCATTCTAGGCCAAAAATGATACTTAAGCATAAGAGGGTATAAAATATAATTGAGTACTGCTCAAATTTAACTGTAAATAGTGGGAATGGTAAGATAGATTGGTCAGTAGGTCCCCCAAAAATAAAGGACTCTCAATGCCATTCTAAAAAGTTTGATCTGTGGGTCATAGGAATCCATCGAGCGATTTAAACAGAGAAGTTAATACAGTCATACTTGCATTTTAAAAGGATATCTGACAGCAGGGAAGGACATCATTAAGTGTCCATTTACTGTAATCCAGAGATAATGAAGAGCTGCATTGATGAAATGCTGTGGACATAGAGGAGAGAGGGAATTCAAGCAATATTTAGGAAATATAATGAGTAGGACTTAGTACCCAGATGTATGTGATATGTAAGAGAAAAGGAGTAGGCTTTTAATAAAATTGAATTTGTTTTAGTTTTAAAATTTAGTGTAAATCTAATTAAAAAAACAATTTTGAAAGAATTTTTAGCAGGAGAAAGTAGAAATATAAGTATGGAGAAATTGATATCTGGCATTTAAAAAACAACACTATTCATGGGAAATAATATGGGAATTTTAGGATAAGCATTATATCATCTTTGGTATGTGCCCAGTGGGACTGCATTAGTTCATTTGATCAAGTTGTAATGGAATGATCATCTCCACTGGTAAAAGCAAAAAAACCCACAATTTTTCTATCTTTCATGAGCATGTTTAACTTGATTAGACTTTACTTCTACATTTTTCTACAGATTTTTATGTAAACAACAACCTATTATCACTTGCTTTTGCTGTTATCTTTGAAATCCAAATTCATTATTATTTAATGGCCTTAGGATTTTAGAAGGGATAATGGATGTAAAGAAAATGTTTTTCTAATTGAGGGAATGCATTTTTTTTAATAGATTTTTATGAAACCAGATTTTGCCTTGGACGATTCTTTAACTTTTAATTCAGTTTTACCATGGTCTCATTTTAATACCGCTGGTGGAAAAGGAAATCGTGATGCAGCTTCCTCAAAGTTGCTACAAGAAAAGGTATTTTCTTTTTTACTTTTTCCACATAGAAAATTTTATTCTAGTTAAGTGGTGCTTCTTGACATGGGTTTAGTTTTAGTTATTTAGTAAGCACTACTTATATTAATTTCATTTTGTTGTTACTGGTAATTAATAAGCTTTCAAATCTTTACTGATAAAGAAATAGTCTTTTGATTCAATGGAATACAGGTTGTGCTGGTGAAAAGGAAAAGCTAATTGTTTGAGTGCTTATTATCTGTAACAGTAGTTGATAGACTTTCAATCAAAAGGATATTTTAGATAGCACACACAATTATAATTGCTTTACATTTATCCCAAATACTATATTAGCCAATTTTATATTCTTTATGATTTAAAGCACAGAAAATCTCTCTTTTTCCTCATTTACATAGTAAGGATTATTCTTTTAAAGCAAAACCATCATACCAATATTCCTATTGTATTTTTAGCTTTGCAGAGCCTGATCTTTTGCATGTTATTAGTCAGCAGTTTAAATTTTTTTATAGTGTCCCATGTTTCAGAAGTCAACATCTTGAACATTACTTAAAATGTAGAACTTTGAAAATATCTTAACTCACATCTCAAGAATCTTTTAAAATTTGGATAGGAAGTAAAGACTTTTTTGATCTTTGTTTTTTTCACACTCAGTTTATAGTTTTTCTAAAACCAACTGTGGTTCTTAAACTGAAAAGAAATCATTCTGTTTTAGTCTAATGACATCTCTTGGCCATATGAAAGCTTGTCCCAGGAAGATGATTCAATAAATTAGGTCCAGTCCTCCTCAGTAACTGAAGAAGGGACTAGCTTGGGGAAGATAGGAGAAGAAATGCCGGAAAAGAATCATGAGTATTCCTTTTCTTACAGTTATATTAGGATGATCCCTTAGTAAGTTATGTAAAGTCTAATCACTGGGGTATGTACCTGAAATTAACAAAATAGTGTATGTTAACTGTAATTGAGAAATAAAAATGATTTTTAAAAGAAAATTTACTTTTTGCTTTGGCATCATTTTCACTTATAAAAATTTTCTTTGAGTAAGGACAAATTCATAAATCTGATGAAAATGATGGGTTTATGGACATAAGCTCACTCCCAGACAACCTTTTCACATTCCAAGTATGTATCCTGCTAGAATAATAACTTAAAAGAGAACAAAAAACAAAAACCAATAAAAATCTTACTGACCCATATAGATACTTTTAGGAATACTTTAAAAATTGTTCTCTTTGTAGAATTTTAATAAGAAATGAATTGTGAAAATATTATGCCTTTGAAAAGAATAGATCAATGGAATATTGATAACTTGCTGAAATCTTTGAAATTCAAATGAAACAATTTTCTCACGCTAAATGTTTAAAGTGACTAAAGTAATGGAATTTTTTTTTGTAAGTTGCAAAATCAGGTTTACATTCTGGCTCCTCATTCTGCTCTGTTCTTAGAAAAGTAATGGAAGACAGGATTCTAAGAGAGTAATTTCAAACTGACTTTCTGATTGACATCAGCAGTTTTATCTTGCTAGCTTTAAAGAGAGGGGATGCTACAACCAGGATCAGAGAAATTTATATCCCATCGTAGTGCTACTCAAAGTGTTGGCCTGCGACGAGAGAAGGAGTTTGCACTAGAATGTAAATTACTGCACTGCTTCCTTCATTAAGAAAGTTTTTTTTTTTTGTTTTTGTTTTTTAATAATACAGTGGGCTTAGTGATAAAGTTAATTTCCTTTCCAGCAAAGTTTCTTATTTTATCATGGACCTGCTAAACAGTTCACAGACTGGCAGCAGTTTATAAACTTCCTTCTGAATTGCACTGTCCTGAAGGAGTTACCATGCTCCATTTACTATTCTGAAAATTGAGTCCATTTTAGCTTGCAATGTACCTTGGTACATTTGTCCCCATATTGTTTTTTAGGTAAATAAATGAACAGCTGTATTGAAGATGAAAAGAATAATAACAGAAGGGTATAAATGCAGGAAATTTAAACTATGGGAAAATTTCTCGTTTGTAACCTATTTTATATTGTAATAGATTACTGAAGGAGTCTTACTGAAGATATTGTGATTCTGCATGATTTTAAGGAAACAGGCTAGGTGACCAAATATTTTCTTCCAATCTTATGAGTCCTAAATGTTGAAAATTCATTAACCCTTTAATGCTATGTATTCTTCTGAGATGTTCAGAAATAATGCCTAAATTTTAAGCTATAGGTTGAAGAAACTATAAGTGAAAAAGTGGGAGAGAAGTGGAAAGGCATATGCAGTTAGAAAGGAGAAAAGACAACTCAAGCTTTAGAAGTCCATATTTGAAATTATAAAACATTATTAATATATGTTACTCTGGGAATTCATCTTGGTAGTGTTACAAAAATATATATGAACTAATTGTTTAAGACATTTGTCAACCTTTTAAGAGGTAAGTACCTTGGAAATAAACTGAGTTTTACAAATTGATAATTTTTGAAATGTAAAGTAAGCAGCCTTGAAAAAAAAGATGCCAATGAATTTTAATACTTTTTATAATTTTTGACTGGGCCACCAATCTGTATTTTATGGATGCTTTAACATTTTGAGGCAGTATGGTATAGTAGAAACAGCTTCAGCTTTTTAGTCAGCTTTTGGGTTCAAATTTTAGTTTTTGAATTCAACTTCAGCTTTTGGGTTCAAATTTTAGTTTTGCCACTTACTAGCTACATGACTTTATTGCAGCAATATAATGTCTCTGAGCCTCAGTTTCCTCATCTGTAAAATAATAATAATATTCCAAGATTGTTAAAATTAGAAAATGATGTATATAATATACCAGTGCCTGGTATATAGAAGGAGGGGGTCAATAAATAGTAACTATAATCATCTTTTAGTCAGATAAGTGATTTGTGATGGAAATGTTGTCTTGAGGTTAAGGATATCATTCTCTCTCAGATCTTAGAACTTCTGAAACTAGATTAGAATCTGAGATGACTGTGGGGTACTCTTACTTTCTAGGAAGTGGTTGGTGTATGGAGGGCAATAATGGCAGGAACAGCAGAAGAAGGTAAATCACCTTCTTCTACTGTGTGGTGTTATATTTATTAATCTTTGGGCTATACCTTTTACGTCTCTTCCATTTTGTTATGTCCAATATCAAGGATCCCATAAGCAAACAGTTCACACAATGTGGATTTTAAAATACATGTAGAAATCTTATATCATTTTCAGAAAGTATTTGGATAGTCAAGGAAGGTACACTTATAATACTCCATGATTTTTTTTTCCTTCCCTCTTAAGCTGAGCCATTATCTGGATATTGTGGAAGTTAACATTGCTCACCAGATCTCTCTACGTTCAGAAGCATTTTTTCATGCAATGACCTCTCAACACGAATTGCAGGACTACCTCAAGAAAACTTCCCAGGCTGTAAAAATGCTTCGAGATAAAATTGCACAGATTGATAAAGTAATGTGTGAAGGATCACTACACATTTTAAGACTGGCACTTAGCAGAAATAATTGTGTTAAAGTGTACAATAAACTGAAGTTAATGGCCACTGTACACCAGACTCAACCTACAGTACAGGTGTTGTTATCCGCTTCTGAATTTGTTGGAGCATTGGACTTAATAGCAACAACTCAAGAGGTTCTACAGCAGGAACTTCAGGGCATTCACAGCTTCCGGTATGTCAATTAAGTAAACCATTAAAAATAATGTTAGAAATTTTTAAAGGATATATTTTAGTGTGTAAGGATTAGCTGAAAAAATGTATGTTTAAAGTTACATGGTTATTTTTTCTTCCAGATCAATCTGCTTAGTAATGGTTATTCTGATATCTTAGTCTTAGCTAAACAAACAAAATCCATAAGGACCAGTATTTACAGGGACATTTGGATGGAGAAGCATAATTACATTTTCTAGTAGAGGAAATCAATGAAAGGCAAATCACAACTTTGAAAATAACATTTTGAAAATGTAGAGTTTTTTTTGTCAAGATAATATCAAGGTAGAGAAAGGAATATCTAAAATTAAGTTCCTTTTAAAAGCTCTTGAATAGGTTATTATTAAATAGGTTATAATTATTACATTTATCTCAGATTTTCAGTCTATTTATCACATTACAAAAATTCCACACGGTGTTGTCAAAGACCCAATTTCTCCTCAGTTTTTATTTTAAAATACCTTTAAGGTTAGGGTTTTAGTTATTTTATGTGAGATCATAGCAAAATGTTTAATATATAGATGGACTGACCCATTGCAAGCTATCAAAATTTCATTCAGGTTAATAGGCTTATAGTGTCCTGGATGTTTCTATTTGCCAGTAAATCCATCCAAACCTTACACTACTGAGTAACTACCAGGAAGTTTTATGGAAGATATGTGCTCTGTAACTTAAAGATACTTAATATGATCTGGAAAACTAGCTTCAAGTAAGTTTATTTAAATTATAAATTTTTATTGACTAAGGCTATGCAATTAGAATATTTATTTAGGAAGCATTTTAAAAATCTTGGCCCACATTTAATTTCATAAATGACTGATTGATTTGTTCATTTAAGAAATGTTTTTTGATCACCTATTACATGTCAGACAAAAGACAGAATACTGGAAATATAGCCAGGAACAAAGCAGAGATGTTCTCTATTCTCATTGTTTCTACAATTTATTTGGCAGGAGAAGGGAGACAGAATTTACTGGGTAGTTATAATATAGTGTATGATAATGAATGTACAGATAGCTATGGAGCTCTAACCATAGTGGGGGAACCTAATCATGTTTATACAAAAAGTTTGAATCATAAACCTCTTGGAGAATCTATTGAAAGCTGTGCTTGGACCTTCTTTTCATAAAAATAACCCTGTACATAAAATTTTATAAGCAGTTTGAATGGTTCATAGTACTTTGAAACCTACTTTGGATTTTCCAACATGAAAAATCACCTCTGATAGTTTAAATATTTCTCTTTTGTGAATGTATGTTAAATATATTTTTAAATAAATAATATTAACTTTTGTCACTACTTTAGAAGAATGGACTTTTATAATAACAGAAGCTGTGTTTTTTCATTTATTACTAATATATAATATCATGAAGATTAATGAATAATGGGAGCCAATTTTACAAAGTAAAGTGCTTTATCCTCTGAATAGGACAATGCTGCTGCCTGCTAAACACAAAAATCTAAAATTGTTCTAATTTTTACCCTAAAGATCATGCAGTTTTTAAAATTATGTTTTCCTTGACCCAAGTTTATGCCCAATACCACTGATGAAAAGTAAAGTTATCTAAAGCTACCTAGAAAATATTTAAGAACTGGGTTGATATTTATTCTCAGTATGTCTTATTAGAAAACAGAAGGAAACTTTTATAATCCTCTATTTATGTTGAGCCAAGGAAGAGTATACCTTAATTTTCAACCTTCTTTTTGTTTGTACCTTAATTCAAATGAAAAATGTTCTTCATAAAAAAATGTATAGTAAGTCCTCACTTAATGTTGTTTATGGGTTCTTGGAAACTGTGACTTTCAGCAAGGTGATATATAACAAAACTAATTTTACCCAAGGCTAACTGATATGAACAAGAGTTAAAGTTCCCATGGCATATTTCTGATCACAAAAACATCACTAAACTTCTAAATAAAGACCCAAAACACATCTAATAATAAACATGGAAGTAAATGTGAGCTATACCTACATTAAAGAAAAATTAATAAAAACAAGTAAGATAATTATTTTTCAACCTGCTTATTCCAGTTCAGGGTTGTAGGTGGCCTGAGCCTCCTACCAGTTCAGGGTGCAAGGTGGGAACCAACCCTGGACAGGACATTCTTCCATCTCAGGGCACCCCTTCACTCAGACTGGGACAGTTTAGACATGCCAGGTCACCTCACATGCACATCTTTGGGATGTGGGAAGAAACGAGTACCCAGAGAAAACCTACATAGACATGGGGAGAATATGCAAACTTTATACAGACAGTGGTCCCAGATGGGAATCTATTTTATTTCTCATCGACATTATAAGAAAAGGGTGTTGAACAAAAGGACATTATTCAAGGCCCTGCTGTATATAATTTTTAAAAGGATTTTCGAATATTCTGTTTATCGACATTTTGCTCAGATATTTTTTTACTATTATTTTTATTAGAACCTACACATATGTTGACAGTGTTTATTCTTCATGTAAAACATTTCTGTAAAGCTGCCTATCAAATATCAGTTCCAGTATGGTTATCACTGTATAAAAGTTTCAGAACTGTGTTGAGTTTCTAACTTCTGATAAACATCTTCATATGCAAATAATTTTCAAACATAAGAGTGCTATAAAAGAAAATGTTTTTTCTAGTGAGGAAAGAATACAGTCTTATAGTTGAAATAGTTTAAGGCTGACATATTATAACCCTGTTTTGTTTTGTATAATTACTGTTTTGTTTAAATCCAATCTGATGATTTACTTTCTACACTTTATCATTCCTTTTGCTATAAAGTTGTTAAATATCAACATTTGTTACTTTTATAGCTTCACATATATTTTTAAGGCCATTTAACTTTATTTGGAAACATAAGAATAGTTTTGGACTCTCTATTTTTATCTGATCAATTAGGATAACATGTATTTTAGGTCTCTTGATTACTTATAAGCATTAGTGGTGTAAGCTGTGATCTTAGTTTATTAACATGATTATTCTCTTGTACTTGAATTTCACACACTTTTCTCCTTATTTTCATACCAGAGAACAAAGTTTAGTTATTTTTGTGGGCATATCTTAGAAAAGCATAAGGTCTTACTTAAAATAAGAAATATTTCAGTAGAACTAAAGGACTCTATCAGATTAAGTTATTAATAGTTTTTCCATAGATTTCAGTTCAAGTTTGCTTTCGGCTATACTTTTTTATAATGCTTTTTAAAGGGAAGTTGGATAACAGAATCTTCCAATTACTACAACCATAAATCTCTATTTGTTTAAAAGGAATTTGAATATTCTTTTTTTTTTTTTAATTTCTCACCTGAGGATATTTTTCTACTTATTATGAGACAGAGTGGAAGGGAGGGAGGGAGGGAGGGGGAGAGAGAGAGAGAGAGACAGACAGACAGACAGACAGACAGACATCTATGTGATAGAGCCGCATCAACTGGTTGCTTCCTGCACGACCCCACGACTCATTGGTCCGTGGGCCAACATTCTAACCACTGAGCCAAATTGGCCAGGGCAAGAATTTGAATATTCTTATTTGTGTACAATTTTTCTGAGTACTATTAACCTAATATATATTTTTTAGTCACTAGTAGTAAGATATGGCTTATGTTTTTTCTTATTCTTTCTGTTTTTTTGGGTTTTTTTTTCTTAGAGTGGAAGGGAGGGAGAGAGAGAGAACATTGATGTGAGAGAGACACATCAATTGGTTGCCTCCCGCACAACCTCAACTGGGGCCAGGAATAGAACCTGCAACCCAGGTACATGCCCTTGACCAGGAATCGAACCCAAGATCCTCCTGTCTGCGGGTTGACACTCTAACTGCTGAGCCAACTGGCCAGGGCTCTCTGTATTTTTTCACCTTGATATTATTTTCTGCATAATTTTTTTGTGACTTCCTGAACTCCCAGAAATTTTTGTTTATACTCTGTAATGAAATTTAATAACATTCTTCCATATTTTGTCATTTGTGTTTTTTTTAAATGTTTCTAATGGGCCCTAAATGTCTTGGGGGCAAGAACTATGTCATACATATCTTAATACATATTTATGGAATCCAAATAATACAGAGTATTACCAAGTGTGTTTTTACTCTTTGTATTATTCTTTCATTTATTTCTTTTACTTTTCATAATCACTGTCCCTAATTAACCATTTGTAGTTTATATGTGACTGTAGTTCTTAATCCTGGCTGCATATTAGGACTTTTAAAAAAGCACCCACACCCCATCCAAACCAATTAAGTTAGACTTCCTAGAGGTAAGGCCTGAACACCTGTATTTTTTTTAAAGCTTTCTAGAAGACACTAAAATGCACTAGAACTGAGAAGACTGGTTTTAAATTACATTGGGTACTCTACTTTTTTAGGATTTGGAATTAGAGTGGTAACATAATTTTATTATTTTTAAAACAAATATTTCAACTAAAACATCTTCCTGTCTGTAGTCATAGAGAGCTTTATTAATATGTTGGAGTATAATGTATCAGTGTGGAAATTCGTTTGATTCCCTCTTCTGAACTTCAACAGTAATTTACATAGCGGGAAATTTGGGATCATTGACTAATTTACAATTTTTAAAATGGATCTTTTGTACATTTGTTGATATTATAATAAAAAATTTCTAAATTATTTTACTGCCAAAATTGTTGCAAAATTTAGCAGTTTAATTATTACTACATAAATATTTTTAATCATTACCCATGGAATAAAATTCTGCTATTAGCAATAAAAAAATATGGTAATCAGTGATCTACACTAATTGAACTAAAAGTGTTGTTGTGGTTAATGATATTCAGATGCTTGTTAAGCAGATGTATTACAGAAATCTCATTATAGGCCTAAGAAATATTTGTACCTTGATATCTTACAGGTTTTCATATAGAACATTTTCAGTTACCTTGAAATTCAAGGATGCAGTGTTACTTACTTTCTTTTTTTTTATCCTCACCAGAGGACATTTTTCCTTTTTTTTGTTCAGATAGAGTGGGA